ATGAAGAATTTACCTGAGCCAAAGTCAGGACAGCAGCTCAGAAATCTCAGGCCCAAGTCATCTTTGATATGAGCGCCATTGGCCTTTGTTAAAGATGGGTTTCTAAAGGCCAAAAAGTAGGGACAGAAGTGGGCTGATACAAAGTTTTTTGTCAGGCATTCTCATTGGTTTACAGAAATAGCATTAATTAGTTATTGGCCATATATTAAGCTATAGGGTGTGGGTTATAACGTGGGATGTGGCATTATTAGGTAACCTTATGGCTACTTGCAGCAATAACAAGCATTATCTAGAGATGAATACGTAGCTCAAAGAGGGGAGTAGGATGTTATTACTGTCTCATTTTAATGTCACTCTGAGCCTGATAATTTAAAAGAACTCCCATTCCTCAAATAAAACTTATTTTCCTAGCCTGGTTTGGTGGGTCACATCTGGTAATCCCAACACTTTTGAAGGCCAAGGTGAGAGGATCCCTTGAGCACAAGTGAGACTAGCCTAGGCAACATAGTGAGGCATTGTGTCTTAGGAAAAAAATTATTTTCTTTTCTCAGTCTTATCTCAGTTGTGAGTTATTCCCCAACTACCCTTCTTTAAATTACAACTATCCATCTACCATCCATCTCTCCCATCCTCTAGCAGTCATTTCCTTTATCCATTTTAGCTTTTCTATATATTCTTTACCTAAGAGTATGCTAAACTTTTATTTTTTTTTCACTCTGTTGCCCAGTCTGGATTACAGTGGTGTCACTCGGGTACAAACAATTCTCATGCCGCAGCCCTCCAGAGCAGCTGGCACTACAAATGTGCACAACCATGCCTGGCTAATTTTTTGCTATTTTTTTTTTTTTTTTTAGTAGAGATGGGGTTTTACCATATTGGCCAGGCTGGTCTTGAACCCTGACCTCAAGTGATCTGCCTGCTTGGACCTCATACGCTAGCAATTTTGTGTAACTTGCGTCTTTCTCCCAGATGCATCCTCAATCTTGGCAAAAATAAACGTGGTTTACACTATTAGGGAGAACAAAAGTAGTACTGAGGCCGGGCGTGGTGGCTCACACCTGTAATCCAAGCACTTTGGAGGTGGGCGGATCACCTGAGATTGGGAGTTCAAGACCAGCCTGATCAAAATGGTGAAACCCCGTCTTAAAAAAAATAAAAGTAGTACTGAAAAGAGCTTTCGCTCTTATAGGCTGGTGACACACCAGAAGAATCTATAAAGCAAGCGTTACTAACTACCCTTTATTTGCTTTCCCAACGTTGCTGCCCCCGGAGACCCGTCCTTTTCTTTAGCCTTGTATATTCTCTAAAAATGTACTGTTCTTTATTGAAGACACTACATAAAAGCTGGAATTCAAAGCCACCTCAATGTGTACTCATTCCCTGAGTGTCTTTCATGTACATGTAATATATATGTTAGTACACTTCTGCTTGTTTTTCTTTGGTTAATCTTTTGTTACATGGGTTTGTTTCAACAAAGAACCTTTGCGAAGGGTGAGAGTTGAAGGGAAAATTACTCTGCCCTTTTTCCACCTTTATCTCCTATTGTCCCCTGCTCATTCCCCATAGTCACTATGGTACCTCACCAGTCTCCCTCCTCTTCTCCCTGAACACATGTGCACAGGTTGCTTCCTCATCTTTCAGCTCTTTGCTGAAATACTGTCTGCTTAATGAGGTCTTCATTGGTTACCGTATCTAAATTTCAGCTTCCCGTGACACTTCTTAGTCTTGCTTTTTTTCCTTCTCACCATCTAACATACTACATATGATATTTACCTATCTAGTTTATTTTCTATCTATTCCAGACTCAAATGAGCGCAAAAATTTTGTCTTTTGTTCTCTTGGTGTATTTCCAATGCACAGACCAGCATTTGGCACATTGTAAACTCTCAACCACTGTATTTGCAGTAAATGAAAATCAATGTTAAAGAAATATTTCATCCATATTGGATCATATTAAATTTTTAAAAAAGAAATACTATTTCTTATATGAGTAATGATGGCATCATATTTTTGTTTTTATTTTTGAGATGGAGTCTCACTCTGTCACCCAGGGTATACTGTAATGGCATCATCTCAGCTCACTACAACCTCTGCCTCTCGGGTTCAAGAGATTCTTCTGCCTCAGCCTCCAAAATAGCTGGGATTACAGGCGTGCACCACCAGGCCCGGCCCAGCTAATTTTTCTATTTTTAGTAGAGATGGGGTTTCACCATGTTAGCCAGGCTGGTCATGAACTCCTAACCTCATGGGATCTGCCCACCTCAGCCTCCCAAAGTGCTGGGATTACAGGTGTGAGCCAATGCACCTAGCCCATAAGGTGTTAAGTAGCAGATAACGTATTAAAATACAGAGATGAAATTATATTCAAATTGCCATTGCAAAATTGTAACTGAGACAGTGAACTCTCGAGATGTGACCTAACCAACTCCATCTTGCTTCTAACCTTCAAGCTGTCCTGGTTCATTCCTAGGCGCAGGATAAACTAACTTTGGGAGAAACTTAGTTTATAGTTTAAAACTGATATAACAGGCCTTTCCCAAAACAACCTTCCTTGCCTGGGGGCTAGACTGCCTTTGTAGTACTAACAAATTAGTCACAAGATTAGAAATTATGGTTTAGGTGAGGTGGCGAGGGTGTAATTTAGGTGAGATTGAATGGCTCACGCATGTAATCCCAGCATTTTGGGAGGCCAAGGTGGGCAGATTACTTGAGGTCAGGAGTTGGAGACCAACCTGGCCAAAATGATGAAACGCTGTCTCTACTAAAAAAAATACAAAATTTATCTGGGCATGGTAGTGCACGTCTATAATCCCAGCTGCTCGGGAAGTTCAGCAAAAGAATCGCTGGAACCCGAGTAGCAGAGGTTGCAGTGAGCTGAAGTTGCACCACTGCACTCCATCCTGGGCTATGGAGTGAAACTGTCTCCAAAAAAAAAAAAGAAAAATTATGGTTTAGGAGTCCTGCAGCTGGGACCTACAAGATTCTGACCCTACTTAAACTGCTTCAGAGATCACTGCTTGAGATATTTTGCAGACCAGATGGATCAGCTGGCACCACTCAGATTGATAAAATGACTTATCCGATCTTGTGGCCTCCACCCAGAAACTGACTCAGCCCTAGGAGACAGCTTTGACTCCCTATAATTACATCTCTGACCTGACCAATCAGGACTCCTGGCTTATCGGCTTCCCCCCCCCCCCAAATCCCCGGATGCTGGGGAGACTGATTTGAGTAACAATAGAACTGTGGTCTTCAGCTCAGGTGGCTCTGCGTTAAGTATTTTTTCTATTGTAATTCCCAGTCTAGATAAATCAGCTTTGCCTAGGCAGTGGGCAAGGTGAACACATTGGGTGGTTACACTATTTGCTTTACAAAAATCAAACCGGTGGGATTAAGTACTAACAGATAAAACACATTTCACCAGTGTTGATACTGAAGCTGAATGAGAGGAACATAGGTTTTATTAAACTATTATGTCCTTTCCCATATATTCTGAAATGTCACATAAGTTTTTAAAATAAAAACTTGAAAAAATTGACAAGTTGCTAAATTAATAAAAGTCATAAAGGATCTGCTCAATATCCACACAGGGCCTTGTGCTAATCTGTAAAGGAAGAGTCCTATATGAAATCGGGTATCTTGGTTGTAAATCAAGAGGCCCAGGAAGGTATCTGTTCACCTTGGCGTAAAAATATTAATTAATTAATGTTGCCCTCAGAAATTTTATTATTGTTTTTTATTTCTTATTTTGCTAAGATGGGGTTTCACCATGATGGCCAGGCTGGTCTTGAACTCCTCACCTTAGGTGATCCACCCATCGCGGCCTCCCAGAGTGCTAGGATTACAGGCGTGAGCCACCGCGCCCGGCACCCACAGAAATTCTTATTAAAGCCAGGTGTTGAAAGATAGTCATCAAGCAAGCCAGAAAGTCCTCCCTTATAGACCAGTAGATTCTCTCTGAAAGCAAACAAGGAAACGGATTCATTTAGAAAACTTTGCTAAGCCTAGTCAAAGTATTAAAATCTATGTAGCCAGGAGTCTAAGCACCATCTGTTTATTAAAAGCACCTGAATTTTAATAATTACCATTCCCTGGGCTCACCCTACAGGGATTGCTGTCTTGATTGAACCCCCGGCAAAGATTTTTCTAAAGCCTTGCCATGTAACTGGAATGTCACAGAGACAACTGATCTGTAAAGAAATCAGACTATCTTAGAGGATTGTTCTGTGCACTTGCTTTAGAGAACATGTCATAGAATATTTCATTCGGTAATATCAACATGCATTTTGCAAAAACTCACTGCTGGTAACAGTTCACAGGCAGGATGCCTTTACTGATGAGACCTAGGCTTCTTCAGTGTTCGTGATAATCATCTGAGGTATAATGCAGATTGACTCCAACCCTAATAGGGATTGAAAGAGCTACACTTCTAACAATGCCCATGCTGGCTGTAGTTGGCCTATCTGGCTTTGGTTTCTGCCACCAACTTCATGCTTAAACTATTGGTCAAAATCACATCATTTCACATTAAGACCAAGAACTGGGAACTGAGCAAATAGCTTGCTTCAGACATGAAAAAGCAGCAACAAAGGATGTTCTCAACTGCCAGTGCTCAAAGGGATTAACTACAAATAGTTTAAATTAAAAAAAGAAATCCCTTCTATAATGGGTGTACACAGATAACGTGACTAAAGTTTGAGACCCAAGCCATCTATAAAATGAACCCATGTGTCCCATTTCACCACCGAATCCAAGCAGCAAACCCCCAAAACCCAGTTAATAAAAGGGAACACGCTTACAATCTCGCATGTCCCAGAGAAAGCAGGTGACATAGTAAGCTAGCTATCAACTTTGGATGATCGAATTAGGATTTAAATACTGCAACCAACATAACTTTCATAGAATTAGATCAGTTAATCACAGCTTTTTTCGGGCAAAAGTAGGCGGCTCTTAAAAGAGCCTTTGTGAGTTGGATAGAATTATTGCCCAGAGAGCTTTACGCTCTCTCCCCACGAATGCGGCGTGCGAGCTGAATGTCCTTGGGCATGATAGTCACCCGCTTGGCGTGGATGGCGCACAGATTGGTGTCCTCAAAGAGCCCCACCAAGTAGGCCTCGCAGGCCTCCTGCAGCGCCATCACCGCAGAGCTCTGGAAGCGCAGGTCGGTCTTGAAGTCCTGAGCAATTTCTCGCACGAGGCGTTGGAAAGGCAACTTTCGGATCAGCAGCTCGGTCGACTTCTGGTAGCGGCGGATCTCCCGCAGAGCCACGGTGCCGGGCCGGTAGCGGTGGGGCTTCTTCACGCCGCCGGTGGCTGGAGCGCTTTTCCGAGCTGCCTTAGTAGCCAGCTGCTTCCGCGGCGCTTTCCCACCAGTGGATTTACGTGCAGTCTGCTTGGTACGAGCCATCTTGGGCTAATTGAAAAACAGCCTTTTAGTAGAGTAGACAGTGCCCTTATATAGACTCAGAAACACTCTAATTGGCCTTGTTGATTCTCAAAAGTCCCGCGCCATAAAACCATTGGCTGAAGAGTGCAACAAAGTGATTGGTGAATTGCTGGAGATTCTGATTGGATGAATTACTTCACTTTTGAATCCTCTCTTCTCTGTTGAATCCTCTTTTCTCTTTATTAACAGTCTGCAATCTAAGAGCGTTCATTTCCTAAAGTTGTAATTCTGCGGTTCTCAAGCTGTAGTCTGTAACAGACTACTTTGGAAGACACTAAATCTCTTTCAGTAGATCTTCTGTGGGGCCAGATTCCGAGGGCCACGTTTTATCTTGTGACGTTTTCTTGAGTCACCTGGACTGCTGGTACCTAGCTCCACTCAGTGAAACCTTTGTTATATGGCAAGATTCCTGGGTGGTGTACCTGAGAAATCAGACTAAGAGGTCACCGGCATACAGCAGTGAGCAATAAATGTTAACTGACTTATATTTTGTCCCAAATGGTTTTTTGCTTCGGTTGAGAATTTTCAAAGCACAGGTTATTTTAGATTTTCCAATGACTATCCCTTATTTTCACTGGGTCCTACTGACGATACACTAGGCTACCACCCCCACTGGCCTCTTCACGGTAACTTGAGGGGCACTAGACTGGCGCTGTCTATCTAAAGCTTGCAATGTTTTGTAAACGTTAACGAACTTGCTTCTTCCTGACTACATTAAAACACTTACAAATATTAAACATATTCTCATTAGTCCTGTTTGCCTAGTCAGTCACTTGTGTAGACAGCAACAGCACGGCATGAATATTGGGCAGGACACGGCCCTGCGCATCAGTAACTTTGTCCAGCAGTTCGTTGAGCTCCTCTTCGTTGTGGATGGCCAGCTGCAGGTGTCAGGGGAGGATGCGGTCTTGTCGCGGGCCGCATTGCCCGCCAGATCCAGGATCTTGGTCACGTACTCCAACACAGCCGCCACGTACAGCAGCGCGCCGTCCCGCACTGGCCCAGCATAGCTGCCCTTGCGGAGCAGGCAGTGCACTCCGACCACAGAATACTGGAGATCAGCCCTGAATAGCGCGTTTGGCCGCAGCTTTGCTACACTGCTTTTCACTCCAGACGTAGCTAAGTATTTAAATAGGAGGCGCAAGGTGACTGATTCTAGTAAAGCGCAAGCAGCTAATCTGTGTTCGGCAAAATACCCTGTGCTATTGCCTGAACACAAATTCCAGCCATTCGAAAAGAAGAAGGCGTTAAAAATAAAAAAAACACTTTCTAAATAATTATGCTTGAAAGGTCAAATTAGGCAAGGTTGAGCTTCTGGGAGAGCCACTGAGACTTAGGAATTCAGAAATGGCCTATCACATGTTCAGACACTAAAAGAACCAATCAAAGACCGAAATACCAATCCTCATTTGCATATATACGAAATAAATAATGAGGGCGTTCGGGCTCGCCATCATATTGCTTGTCATTACTTGAGGCGAATACATAGGCTGTGAGCATGCCTGAGCCAGCGAAGTCCGCTCCCGCCCCGAAGAAGGGCTCCAAGAAGGCGGTGACCAAGGCGCAGAAAAAGGACGGCAAGAAGCGCAAGCGCAGCCGCAAGGAGAGCTACTCCGTGTACGTGTACAAGGTGCTGAAGCAGGTCCACCCCGACACCGGCATCTCCTCCAAGGCCATGGGCATCATGAACTCCTTCGTCAACGACATCTTCGAGCGCATCGCGGGCGAGGCTTCCCGCCTGGCGCATTACAACAAGCGCTCGACCATCACCTCCAGGGAGATCCAGACGGCCGTGCGCCTGCTGCTGCCCGGGGAGCTGGCCAAGCACGCGGTGTCCGAGGGCACCAAGGCCGTCACCAAGTATACCAGCTCTAAGTAAACTAGGTGTCTGAGTAAAGGCGCCAACGACCCAAAGGCTCTTTTAAGAGCCACCCATGTTGTCATTTAAAGATCTGTAATTCTCCAAAACTTCCCTTAACTAGAACCACCCCCACTTTTCTGCCTCCACACCACCACATTCAGGTTTTTGTTTTTAGTTTCAGTTTACCATCCTATTGCCCTTGATTGGGAGTATCGGGTGGAAAACAAGTTTGGGGTACTATTACAGTTAAATAAGGTTTGAAAACCCGAAACTTTCCTCTTGTAATTCGTTACTATCTTGCGAATGGTTGGAGCAGCATATGATGGAGGAAATCACCTCTGTTGGCTGCATTTATAAACCACGGCGGATTGCTACCAGACTTTCTCATATCCCGGTTGTCCCAAGTCCACTAACTTCTCTACAAATTTTACTGAGTTTATAATTCTTGGATTACTTCACGTATCTATATATATTATCTCTTGGCAAGATCAGGAACTCTACCATCTTCCTGCCTGAACATATTGAGGTTTAAGAGAAAGAACGGGTGCCGGGTGTGGTAGCTCACGCCTGTTATCCCAACACTTTGGGAGGCCGAGGCGGACAAACCACCTGAGGTCGAGAGTTCGAGGCCAGCCTAGTCAACAAGGTGAAACCCTATCTGTTTAAAAAAAATAAATTAAAAAAAAAAAAAAAAGAACAGGCAACAGGATAGTATGACTTTGGAGCAAAGAAATGAAAACTCCAGGGGCTACATTCAGGTGCTTTTTATCTGTAAGCCTTTTTAAGGTTTCAAGGACAGAGTTCTCCCTAAACTACCTCATCTGTATCCTGGAACGACTTTGTCCACAGCTACTTCCTTTCCTGAAATTTCATTTTAAGAGAGGAGGGTTACAAGGAATTAACATTTGTATGGTAGTCCTTAGAATGAATTATTTCATTCGTTTTTTGTTTTTTTTTTTTTCTAGTCAGCTGTGAAATGCAATCTCCTCTTTCACGGGTGACTGACCTCAAGACTTAGGTTAAGTAACTAGCCTCTTACACATAAATAAAACTGAGATTTTAATCTCCTCTAGCTGATTCTAAGGATTACTTCCCACTATTTGTTAGAGACCATCCCAAGCAGGATCCTAGTTGCTGTCATAGGAGTCAGAAAATTTTCTCAATTGTAATAAAAGTGGTCAGGAGATAAACATATTCTTGGTTGCACAGCAAAGTCCTTATACCAGAAAAATTTTCTTTTAAAAATAAAATAGTAATGTGACCTTTGGGCCCTAAAGATCACGTGGCAGAAGTTTAACTTTTTCTGAGCACGGTATTCTGGAGGGGAAACATGGGCATTGCCAATGTACGGTGAGCTTTAAAATCTTATTGTCTATTAGCTTACATGTCATTATCTGCAAATACCCACATAGCAGATTACTGAGAACATTTAGTGACCAAAATTTCTTTTTAATTTTTTGTTTTGAGACAGGGTCTCACTTTGTTATCCAGACTGGGGTGCAGTGACATAACCACGGCTCACTGCATTCAACCTCCCTGGTTGTGTTCCCACCTGTCTCCCAAGGAGCTGGTACTATATGCACACACCATCATACCCGCTAAATTTTTTTTTTTTTTTAAGCTTTTTGTGGAGCCGGGGTCCCACTGTGTTGCCCAGGCTGGTCTCAAAGTAAATTTGTAATGGAACTTGTGAAGAAAATTCTCTAAGCTGCATGTATAACTAAGGCATTCATTTCTCACTCTCCAAAGCTACTTTTAAATACATTTTAAATTACATAGTCATGAAATATTCAAGCACGAAGGCATTTATTCCTTGCTCTCCAAAGCTAATTTTAAATACATTTAAAATGATATATTCATGAAATATTCTAGCATGGTTTAAGGGGGACATCCCTCAGGAAGTGATATAGTCCTGATTGCCTGTTTCCATCCTGAGTTTGGGCAATTTATTTAATTCCTCTGTAAGTACTTCCTTGCCTGTTTATTCTAAACAGGAATAATAATTAGTAACTACTGCATGACATTACTGGAGTGACCAATAAAAGGAAACAGCTAAAGCACTTAGTACTTGAGCTGTCTGCACAGAGGATGTCCCGGTAAATATTAGCTGTAGCTAAAGCCTCTGGAGAGTGATAGCGAAGGTGCCTTTGGTCCTGCCCACACTGAAAGCCCAGTGTCCTGAGGCCTGGAATAATTAGCATTGGGCTTTTCTGTCAGTGTAAACAATACTCTGAACAGTTCAATTTCCTCCTTAGAGCCATTGCTTTCCTCTGAAGCATTTTGGAGACATACTACTGCCTGAGGATGTTTGATTTCCCTATCTTTGCTTGCCAATTCAAGCAACATGTGTCATATTTTCCAGGGACTGTCTCATGCTCTCACTAGAACTAGGGGTGCCTCATTTAATGGTCAGATAGATGTGTTGAGTTGTAAAGAAGGAAACCTAGAAATTCACATAAGAATTGCTTAGTACCTTCTTACTCCTTTTTTCTTCCCATGTTTCCTATTAACTTTGCTAACATTGCTATATTTATTTTCCATCCATTTGCTGACTACGTTTCCCTCGGATACCTCCAGATCACAGCCATGTTTCCAGATGAACTTCTGCACCTTAGTAAGTATGTTATTTAATTAAAATACAGGAAATTGGCTGACTGATGAGGGCCACACTTTCCTGAATCCATTCCATCCCTGAGACATAGGTCACTTCAAAGGAAACTGATTGGCATAAATGTTCTGCTCAATAAACTGCACCACAGTTTTGGTCCATGAATTCTATTTGAGATGTAACACTGCGGCACTAGGACCCACTCCCTCACTCTTTGAGGCCAGGTAGGCCAAGAACCTCGAATTCGAAGTCCAGCCACACAGTGATCTCCCACCAGGCCCCACCTCCAACACTAGGGATTGCTATTGAACATCTTGGGTGTGAACACAGATCCAAACCATGTCAAATGTATATCCTTTGCTCATTCATCTGTCTTTTGTTTCAGGGTCCCAGCCAATGAATTTATTTAAAATGGGTAAAAGAAAAGCTGTTCTCTTCCCTATAGCACACAGTAGGTGTGGGAGGGCATCTGTGTTCTGTATGTCTGTCTGTCTTTCTAGTGTAGACAGACATAATATTGA